AGGTTCGACTGATTGTGCAAGACTCTTTCAACACTGCAGTTCGGAGAACGTCGTCTACGACCCCGGTGCACTGCCTTCTCGCAAGTCGAACAGCCACCGCCGACCATCGATTGGTGTGGGCTCAAGCTTCGTAAAAGACTGATCTCGTGTTCATAAATTTCACACTTAATCCCTACCCTTATTAGTGCATCGAACTGCCCTATGACGACATTTTACCAGCCATGCTGCCAGTCACATCGTCATCAGGGCTAGTCATCAGTCGAAGGTTTTCATGACTTTGATGAGATTTTGCACGCGAAAACTTAGGGTCGAAGCTCACCATTTGATTAAAGGCTCAGGTCGCGATCATATCTTTGAAAAAATCCTCTGCGTGTGATGGAACTGTCATGACTAGGAAGCTTCGTCGTAAGGCGCTATGCCTTTCCTTTGGCCGCTGCAACCGTTGCCATTCCTAACATTCGCCAGCACTCGTTATCGAACGTGTTCTTTCGCGTTTTTCCTTCTCCACTCAGCGCTGGATCTCTATAGCACAGAGTAGATCGAACTCGCAAAGAGACCCTCAATTTCACTGTTTCCTACGCATTAACCTCTTACACTTTTCCTCATTAACGGCCCTCCTCACTTGTTTCATTTTCGAGAACGCGACCCATGCCTTTAATCCCTACACTCCTTTACAATTTATAAGTGCCACGCAGAACCAACCTGTCACCTAATCCCAGGATGTACCCAACCATCGACATACATGCCATAGATCTCGTATAGTTTGTTCGACGATCAAACCACACTTCAGAACTGAAAAAAGATCGCGGTTATACAGTGAATAATTATCATAGGCGAAGCAGATCTAGTCTAAGTGAGCAAATTGGCATATAATTTTTGGAGAGGAGTTGTGTTGGCAAACTATGTACTTCCTACAGCAAATACTTTGAACGAACAATGTATCACGCTTTGAGCGGCTTTGTAAATATTTAGAATGAGCAAAAAAAAACAATTGGTGGAAAAGTTGCGTTTACAGTTTCCAAGTAAGCCCTACTGGCGATGATGACCTACCTTGGACTTTTTAACCACAGAATTTGTTGTAAATCATCTCCTGTGGTTGACGCGAGGGCTCTTTCGAAAAGTTGCACCTAAAAAGCCAGGCTTCAACTTGAGGAAGATACAAGCACTTTTTTGATGAATAATCTTCGACCTAACTTCGCACGCATCGTACTGTAGTCGTAGCCCGCTGAACTCAGTAGGTCGCGCTCTAATTTAACCCAGAAATCCTGAAGGCTGAGAGCCAAAATACATATCCTAACCGCTTATTCTTAAAAGGACGTCAAAGTGAAATTCGGCTAATGCACTTCACAAAGTGCACTCCGGAAGAACAAAAGATGGTGCAGCTCAGACCTGTAGTCCGATTTGCAGGTTCAGCCTTAAAATACATCTTTCAGGCAAACAGATTTATATGTAGCTTCAACTTGCTATTACGGCCAATCGAGATGCTTCCGTCTCAAAATCTCTACTTCCAAAAGTCATCTGATCTGTCTTGATTCGTTTGCAAAACAATCATTGTTTTGTTGCCTTTGAAACTAACTTTTTATCTTTTTTCACCTTTCACACAATTTATTGCATCTTATATCATTCAAAGGCATACCCCAGATCACATTGGTGTGTGGCTTACTACTACGAATGCGAATGTATTGGTGCGAAATGGGCCGCAAAGAAAAAAGGAAAAGAATCCGTCGAAAACGCTCAGGTTAAGGGCTCACTCACCTTCCTAATCGGCTGTGCTAAGGGAATGAGAGACTAAGCGCGGAGAGGAGAGTATGAGGCGAGAGAGCGCTACAGATGAGAGAGCGCCAGACAACAGCCTGATAAGAAAAAAAATTCGCAGCTTGGCAGCAGCTTACTTTGCAAGGCCCAAGCGCTCTTGTCGGTTGTTTCCGTGCATGGAATGCCACATCTGTGATTGACCTTTAGTGGCCTATCCTACAGACCGAAGGAAAGCGTTCACGCGACCTCTGCCTGGGTTGTGCCTTTAATGCGTCCATTAATTAATGAATAAAAGCAGTATGAATGATACAGGAAGATCAAAATGTGAAAATGGCAATGAGGCTAGGCGGGAGAGCATATGCCGGAGAGGTGCGCCGCAGGGATTGAAGGGGGGGGAGGTTATATGAAGGGCGTAGGGCAAGTCAATACAACATGCCGAAGAAGAAGGGAATGTAGATTTGACAGCTATCCGTCGAAAACGGTGTGAACACCTCCCCCCCCCCCCCCCCAGCGTCAAAAGAATCCACCGACTGCGCCAAAACATCTGAAGTCTTTTGGAACCCGGTGTTCCGAGGAAGCTGAAGGGAAAGTCGCCTCCTCTTAATTGAATACTTCTTTTTGCCTATTTCCCATCAACGAGTTCACGGATCCCAGGTCGGGAAGTCGAGAAAAAGGGAAATCATTAACAGCTGCCTTCAAGTATGATGATAAACACCACCTACAATTTAATTTGTCGAAAAACTGTAAAATTCACTGAGTCTGAAAAAAACAAAGATTGGTCTAAATTAGAAAAGGAGTTCAAATTTTGTTGGCGAATTCAGATATCACTCTAGAAAAAATGCAGTGTTTGGTAAATAAAAAGCCTAAAAAAATTTTGGGCCGTTTTTTCAGAAGAGGTCGATTTTCCTATGTTCAAAAATGATACAGCCACCCCGTGTTTCTTCGTTGAAATTCATTCTTGCTTCATGAAACTGATTCGCAGTTATCAGGCTTTCACCTAATGTTCCCACAAGATAAAAAAGACAGTTTGGTTTTGAAAAAAGGTAAACTGTAGCAAAAAAAGGACCAGGAATCGTCAAGCAGTCATATTGCGCGAAAATTGAGTCAAAGCTCCAATACGGTTAACAATTCTTTTGTCTGGAATCCTGTTGTGGGGGGGGCTCGATTCTGTAGATTAGTGGAAACAAACGAAAAGCTCTGAATGTCCATCATTGCCTTTTGGTCAAGTTAAACTTCGCATTTTAGGGAAACCATTTTAATTTCATCGAACAGTGAATTTCATCGAACAGTGCCCGGAATTCAGTCTTCTTTCAGAATTAAACTTTCAATGGATATTGTTTGGGATGTGTTGAAGAATTTTCCGAGGTCATTCTTCAATGGAGAATTAAAGAAACCTTGTTTGTGAAAGAAATTCTCTCGAAAACTGAGACATTTTTTTTGAAAGTAAGGCATGACGGACAAAAGAATCGAACTCTTACTCCAGTCGGCGTGACTACACTCTCAAGCAAAAAATGACTCGGTTAACTAAATAACTGCTTGACGATTTCTGTCCTATTTTTGGGCTACTGTTACCTTTTTTCAAAACCAAACTGTCTTTTTTATCTTGTGGGAACATTAAGGTTGAAAGCCTGATAACTGCGAAATCAGTTTCATGAAGCAAAAATGAATTTCAACGAAGAAACACGGGGTGGCTGTATCATTTTTGAACATAGGAAAATCGACCTCTTCTGAAAAAATAAGCACAAAATTTTTTAGTGTTTTCACATGGATTTTTGTGTTGATATCTGAACTCGCCATGAAATTTGTCACATTTTCTATCTGGACAGTTTTTCAGAAACTCTATGAACTTTAAGTTTTCGAACAAATTTTAGGTGGCTGTATCATTATTGAACGCAGTGTATTTAGTGGTAATGCAGGCCCTAAACTGAGGCAGTGCGCGTTCCGCATTCAAGAGTAGGCCCCCAGCGACCTGTCAGGACCGCATCTGCGCCGCTCGCGCCTCTGTACGCCCGCCTATAAGGTAACCCCTCGCCGCCAAACCCTAACTGTTTAGCAAAGAAAATGTTAGCTTGAAGGAATCCAACGGAAATTGCATTCTTTCTTGACATGAATGTGTCAGTTGTGATCACTGGAAACAGCACACAAAGTTTCACGCATGAAGATTCGGTTTCCGAAGAGAAACAAACGTACAAAAACTACACTCTATGGACAATCGAAGGTAATTCGGGCGGAGCCAAAGGCGAGGCATGGAAAGAAGTTGGCCTTTGGCCGGCTACGTATCAGGCGACGCAATGAAAGAATCGGGTTAAAGCGCGCGATTTCGGAGAGTAGAGACAAATCGATCGATAGAATAGGATGGAGTAGAAGTGTGAGATGTGAATGCAATAAAGCAGAAGGCCAGAAAGAGTTTAGTGAAGGCACTCCAAGAACCAAGTGGAAGCATCCCCGTCGCCAGCATTTGTGAAAGACGTCCGTGGGCACTTTGAACGCGTAGCAGCCCTTTCGATTTTTCGAATTTTTTACCAAAACGAAAGCAATATTTCTGTTCTTTTCATTCTTATCGTGGATAATGAGTCTCAAGCCAGTGATTTATGGCTGAAATAGAATCATGATTTTTCCGTGAAGGATTCCTTTAAAGCAACGTTAGACGTAGTGGGTTTACCAGCTAATGTTGTGGGAGCGAGTAAAACATTTTTCTTAAAGGAGGATTGCACGGAAAGAACGAAGGTCGAAGAAGGGAGAAATCGCCTAGTGGGGAGAGCGGTGAATCCTCCTGAGGGTGCGGACTGACACGCAATTGGCATCGAAAGATTTGACCTCGGCGACCTAGCATGGCTCAAAGTTGGCGAGTTCGGCGATCTCCGCCCACCGATCATCTGATCACTCGCCGTAGTTCAATACGTGGCGAGTGATTAGATAGCTGAGAGAGCGTAGTGTTGAAGA